CAGGACAGCCAGCTTAACCCTCTTTCTCTTATGCTCACTCCTGTTGGGAGTGGTGTAAGACTGCTTCCCTTTCTTAGCACCACCACGTAGTCTCAACACAAGATAAAGAGTGGACTCCTTTCGAAGGTTATGGTCAAACAAAGAACATCCATATTCCAGTTGCTTGCCAGCAAAGATCAGTCTTTGCTGATCAGGGGGAATTCCTTCCTTATCTTGGGTCTTGGCCTTTACATTCTCTCTTGTATCCAAGGGGTCAGCCTCGAGAGTGATGGTCTTCCTCACAAGGGTTTTCGCAAAAATCTGCATCTTGGTGGCAGTTCCACCATGGACGGCAGATCGGAAAGCTTCCTCAAGTGTTTTAACCTTCCTCATGCCTCCATGCCTTTGCTGGCCCACCAACCTAAAACACACTTTCCTCCTGCCATTGCCTGTCACTTCCTTCTTCTCTTTCAACATGTAGCCTGGTATCGTCTACACTGCTGTGCTTTGACCCCTTATCTGGAATAAGTATCCTTCCCTGGTTCCCACGGCCATCTGTACTTGCCTTTATTATAGACACAGAGGTACTGTGTTATAACTGTCAGTCATCTTATCGCACAACTCCACTAACCTACGTGCTTCCTGAAATCTGAGACTTTGTATTTCCATTTCTTGTCCCTAGTGCCTACCAATATGCTCGGCACATCTGAGGTACCTAATAAATGTTTATTACATGTATGAAAACTGGGCTCCAATCTGCATTGTGATCTGGGGCAGATTTCCTTCATCTCTTTGAGCCTCTAGTCCAGCGGTTCTCAACCTGTGGGTCGCGACCCCTTTGGGGGTCGAACGACCCTTTCACAGGGGTCGACTAAGACCATCGGAAAACACATATATAATTACATATTGTTTTTGTGATTAATCACTATGCTTTAATTATGTTCAATTTGTAACAATGAAATTGGGGGTCACCACAACATGAGGAACTGTATTAAAGAGTCGCGGCATTAGGAAGGTTGAGAACCACTGCTCTAGTCCCATATCTACAAACTGGAAATAACACCTATGCCATAAGGTGGTTACGAGACTCGAGTGAGCTGATCCATGTAAAACCCATTGCGTGAATTGGTACATGGTAAATAGTAGCTCAATAAATCTTGGTCTCTTCCCATCTTCCACCATATCCTTCAGAAACACCCTCCCTATTACACTTCTTTAGCTGACCACTAGGTGGTGTCAGTCTCTGGCCTGACAATCAATCCCAGAGCAGCCCCCTTAAGGCCCCAATCCCAGCGCTTGTTACACTCAGACAGGAAAAGATGTTTAACGATTTGCTGGAAGATCCAAAAAAGAAGATACCCTCTCCCACACCAACGTCTTTTCCTACTGTCACCATTCTAGGTACCCTGATTATGGATTGCAGAGAATTCCTCTTTGATTCCTCACTATTTTGGTTATAATTTCAACTCAAGGATTTGAAGATTGAAAATGCTTCTTAACAATAGAAGTGGGAGAAGACGCTGAGGCAGAGAGGGATTCATGAGTGCTATAGGAGAAATGCAGAGAAGATGTTTACAGTCACATCCGCCTGAAAGGAATGAATTACGACGGTCTCCTCAACCAGCACAGGCACCCCTGGTCCTAACACTCTGTCAGCCTTCCCATCAATTAATCAAGAGCTCCTAATAGTGGGTGGATACAAAGAAATAAAAGACATCCTTGCCCTTAAGGAGTTTATAGTGTGGTGGTAGACACAGAACCTGCACAATTAAGTGCTAATGTCTAGGTCAGTGGTTCCCAACCTCTTTTTGGCCATGTCCCACCTAAGCATCTCTAAAATCCTGATGCCCCCCCTGTGACTTATAATTCTTATTATTCAAAAAGTGAACTCCTATTCATGTGGAGGAAGTCTAAAAGGCCATTAACTTGGTTTAAACAAGCTTCCAAAGAACATGGCATCCATGAACAAGAAACATAAAAGAACAAAAGGACAGTTGAAGTACTGAGGAAGAAATCACTAAGAAATTGTTAAAAAAAAAATCCTATATAATAAAAGCCTAATATGCAACTTGACCGAACTGTAGAAAGACTGGTCGCTATGATGCACACTGACCACCAGGGGGGCAGATGCTCAGTGCAGGAGCTGCCCCCAGCCCGCAGGCCGGCCAAGGTGGGTGCCAGGACCCCGACCCCCCCCCCCCCCCCATCGCCCTGCCAGTGCCCTCACAGATCGTCCCTGATCTCCAGCCAGGTCTAGGGACCCAGCCCATGCACGAACTTCGTGCATCTGGCCTCTAGTAATAATATGAAGTGATATAAAAGAAATAGCAAATAAAGTTTCAAAATATATAATAGAGAACCGAAATGCATAAAAATGTCACTGTATATTTATATACTGTATATGAGGCCCCTAGGGCCATAAGAAATGCAAAAAATTCACTGTTAGTAACTCATTCTCGAATTGCCCCCCTTAAAAATCAAGTTGCCCCCCTGTGGGGTGTGTGCCACTGGTGGGAACCACTGGTCTAGGTACTGAGGCTATCCTGAGTACAAGTTGGGAACAGGAGAGATGGGCAAAGGGAGAATAACAGGACGGCTTTTCTAAGGAGGGTAAGGAGGGGCTGGGAGAACAGTATAATTAAAGGCTCAGATAGAAATATGCATTCTCTCTCTTTTAGAGACACCCTCACAGTTCACATACTGGAAATAACCAAGTGTCCAACAACCCTAATGGATTGTGTAGAATCCAAGCAAGGACACTGCAAGTAACCAATATAAAAAGAGGGCGAGATGTGCGTGTACAAAGTGGAAAGGGATCAAGATAAGTTAATTGAAAAAGTAAGTTACAGAATAGTATATATTGTATGAGCTCACTTGTGGTTTTAAATTATGTTTATTTGTTTTTTTGTGGGTTTTTGTTTTTTAACCTCTTGGAAGGAGACCCACAGAACTCTCAGTAGTGGTGACTCTGAGGGTGGGACTGAAGAATGGGAGTGTGGAGAGCAGCGGGTTTACTTTTCACCTTGTACCTTCCTATACGCTGAGGGTTCTTTTAACCACTAATTATTACCATTTTTATAAGATAAAGTTAAAAATAAATACACATTCACATTCATAAGCTCATAGGAGTTGGGAGGTAGCAAATAAGAAGTGTTGACATGCAGGCTGAGGCCAGACTTTGGAAGTCCGTGGCTGGGAGAGTTCATACTGGATTTAGTTGTCTACAGACAGACACCCAGTAGAGGTTTGCCATCCAGGAAGAGACTCCACAGGGAGAACGGATGTAGAAAGACTCACCTTTGTAAGGTAACTAGCAGGGAGAGGAATGAAACTGCCCCCTTACAAGCGACATGCGGTCATCCCATCTAGCTTTTTCCTTTCAAAGATGTCTGAAATCTGTTTCAATCTGATTTCGCTTGGACGGTAACATTGGGAGAGGGTCCTGGGAGAGGAAGGAATCTGATAGGCATTCACTAAACACGTTCAGTGAGTCCCTGCCGCCATGTGTCTGTCACTGTGTGAGCCCAGGAGGGCTGTATAATAGGATGAATAAGATTCCACCGCTGTGTGAAGAAACTCTGGCAGAGGAAATTGGAGCTTTATTTCAAAGGAAAAAATGACAGACCTTGAGCACAGACGTGCAAGATTAGACAGAATTGGCAGCGTCTGAGATTTCTAGCCTGGAAGACGAAAGGTAGGTGGCCGTGGCCTGGAGCAAACCGAGCCCAGAGGGAGCTCTGGTTTGGAGGAAAGCTCTGGTTCCCTCTGGATTCTTCCGTGGCTCGCACTGCCATCAGGGGACAAGTCCTCAGTGTTGCTCCGCTTTCTGCAAGGACAGCCTGGAGGACGGAGAACCCTTCCTTGGCTAGAATTTTAAAAGGGTACAACCCTCTCTCTTCTGAACCTCAGTTTCTGGCAGCCCAAGTCGCCTGTGTCTCCCTGCACTCTGGCTTCCAGACACCAGAAAGCCAGACGCCCAGGGCGCAGGCTGCAAACACCGCCCAGGAGGGGGCAGTGGCCAGAAGCACCTCCGCGGGGCGGTGGACCCGCCGGCGCCCGGGGCTGGAGGCAGCCTTCCCGGACCGGCCGCGGGCCGGACAGAGGTCCCGCGCTCAGCAGACGCCCGCTCAGAACTCGGGTCCAGAGTCCCTCATCTTATTCCAAATCCCTGTTGCTCGGAATCTAAAACGCCGACTTGGTGGGGAGCCAGGCAGAAGGGATAAAAAAATAAAAAATAAACGAGCCCCGACCTCTTGGGGCGAAGGGGGCAGCCCCACCCGCTGGTGACTCACCTCCCTCCAAACCAGCGCCTGCCCCTTCCCGCGCTCCGGGCCCAGGCGGGCAGGGCGAAGGCGGGGACCAAAGGGGGGCCTCCCACCCCCAGGCCCCGGGAGGCCGAACAAGCTTGCGGCGGGGCCCCCGCGGGGGTCCCTGGTTACCTCTGAGGTCCCGGAGCAAGGTGGGGGCGGCCCTTGGGGCCCCTCCTCCCCCGCCCCCCGCCGCTGGCCCCGGTCCCGGTCCCCTCTCCAAAAAGTCTTCGAATCCAAGCTCAGCCTTTTCCCCGAACCGTCCCCGCGATTGGCGGCCCCCTGCCCCCCCACCCCCAGGGTCGGGGGGGCAGCCCCACCCCAGGCGCGGGGCACGTCAGGCACTCCAGAAACCAGGATCCCAGACCCGGCTGAATCCTAGAGAGCAGCCACTCCACTTGGCTCGCCCACTGCCAAGCACCCAGTTCCTGCAGCCACTCGCAGCGGAGAAGAGAAAGGCCCCGGCGGGAGGGGAGGACGCGCCCCGCCCCGAGCCCGCCAGCGGCGCCACGGGACCCCCGATCTCGAACCGCGGGGCCGGAGCTCCAGCCCCCGGAGCCGCCCGGACGCCCCCTCCCCAGGGCAGCGCGCCAACCCCGCGCATGCGCACTCGCAGGACTGCCGCGTAGCTCTCCCCCCTCCCTTTTTCTTCTCTCCCCGCCCCTTCTCTCCCTCCCTCCTCCACCCTTCCCCTCCCTCTCTCCCTCTCAGCCCGCCCCGCGGCACCTCAGTCGGGGGAACAGTGGTGCGAGCTCCAGGCCCGTGCACTGAGGAGGCAGAAACGAGGGGAGCCCCCAGAGCTCCATCAGGCCCCTTCCAAGGGCTCCCCCACCCGGTCCACGCCCCCACCCCCCACCCCGCCTCCTTCCAATTGTGCATTTTTGCAGCCGGAGGCGGCTCGGAGATGGAGCTGTGAGCTTTGCCCAGGGACGGGGGAAAGAGGAGCGAAGAGAAAAGCAGGGGGCGAAGGGTTTGGATTTGGGGTCAGGGGGCGTACCCTCGCCAGCAGACCCTCCACAAGGGGCTCCGAACTCTGCCTCTTCACCCACGCCCCCGGTGCGCGTTGCTGAAGGATAGGATAAGAATAGAGGAGAAGGAAAGGAGGAAAAAGGGGGACCCCCCAATTGGGGGGGGGCGACGGTGAGAAGTAGCAGGACCAGAGAGTAGGGGGCTGCTGCTTGCATCAGCCCACACCATGCTGACCCCGCCGCAGCTGCTGCTGCTGCCCCTGCTCTCAGCTCTGGTCGCGGCCGCTGTCGACGGTAAGTGAGATTCCGCGGCCCCCTAGGACCCCTGGGGACACCCACTCCCCAGCCCCCACTCCTGCGTTTGGATGGGGAAGGGAGACGCGGGAGGGGGTGCCTTTTGTTATCACAGTCCAGCTGACACAGCAGCGTCCCGACTGGGGGTGGGGATGGGGGTCCAATTTGGAGGATGTGGCCCTGGGTAAATGATGCTTCCATGGGGGCCCCCAGCCCAAACAAAGACCAGAGGCCTGGGAAGGGAGGAGAGGGTTCCCCCCTTTTCTGATCCAGGGATCCAGAGGCCTTCTCTTCCTATCTCTGGTTGGGGAGGGCCTCCACCTCCCCTACATCCTCCACCCCTCCACCCCCATCTGAATGGTGAAGGAATCCGGGTTTGCAATACAGGGCTGCAAATGGGGGTGGAGGGACTTTTGCAGTGGCCTCTGAATCTGGAAGAGGGAGCCAGGTCAAGAGTGCCTGGCTGGGAAGAGGGCAGGCAGGCCCGAGATGGCTGTGGGTGGAAAGGGAGGGCCATGGAGAGGCCCCCCCTGCTTGGGTGTGGAATCTGGGCCTGGGAGACCAGGCTTGGAGGCCTGGGTCCAGGATCCAGCCGCTGCCGGCCTGGGTTCCGAAGTGAGCACTTCCCCCTCTCAGGGCCTCTGTCAGTAGCCTGGATAGGGCTGTTTTGGGGGGCAGAGGAGAAGCAGGAGATGCTGTGTGACTTTGAATTTTCCTTCTTAATTCCTGGGAGCTTTGAAAGGAAAAACGTCAGATGTCAGGGTTGGGTAAGGGGGCTGGAGAATGGCCTGGAATGCTGAGGTGGGAGGTCGGAAGAAGGCTGCTTTCTCGCCTTCTGGCCTGATCACGGTGGGGACTGGTAGGAGAGTTGGAGGTTGGATGGGGGTTATGGCTATGCCCCACTCCCCAATTCCCTGCTCCTTTGGTAAATGTGTTTATTTCTCTCTACCATTCCCCTTCTCCCTCCATTTACATACACTTTGAATACTACAGTTGGGTCTGGGCTAGAACTGTGTCCTGTTGGGGAAGTGCCCCCTCCCCGTGTATGTCAGCTATTTGTTTTCCTCTTATTTGTGAGTCACTGGTTCAAGTCTTGCCTAAGCTTTGAGCTGGGGTCATGGGGTTGGGCTGGGCCCCTGACTTCAGAAGGGGTGGGATCTTACCGCTTCCTGTCATCCTGGAAAAATTGGGCCTAATACCATTGCGCACCCTTCCTCCATCTTCTAAATTTTGCGAGGTTGAGATTAGGAAAGTTTTCTCTGAAATCAGATTACCTTTCCCGCTCTTCCCCTACCCCCAAATTGCTTCGGTTGAGAGAGGGAGGTTAGGGAGTCAGGAAGCAGCTGTGCCAGAAAAACAGTATATTCAGTGGCCCTCAATTATTCTGTCTTGGGGACTGTCTGCTCCTCTGCCACCCCCCACCTCAATTATCTGCCCAAAAGGAGTAAAGAGGATCTGTCCTGAATATTCTCCTGACCAGCCCTCACAGCCAACCCTTACTCATGACTTTCCTCTTATGCATGTTCTTGCCCCGTTATCAATTCTGTGAGGTGGGAGGGGAAACCGAGGCAGAGGGATTTAGATATACAGTAGCAGCTTCTGGGAGGGAGAGAAAAAAATTTAAGAGAGAGAGAGAGACCATCAGGAATCTGTGGAGAACAGAAAGTTTCCCCAGCCAAGTCAGGAATGGCCCAGGTAGTGTCACCCCCAGGGTTCTAAAGCAGTTCTATTTGCCACACCAAGTTGGTTGGTGGTGAGTAGAAGAGGGAGACTGGATATGTTCGCCTTAATGCCTCCCTACCCTTTCTTAAAATTTTCACTCAGTCCATGGCTGTAACCCCAGCTCAAACCAACCTGTACCCAAAATTCCAGGGAAAGGACCCCTCCCCCAGCACACACTACCCTTCTTACCTTGGGAATGGGACTATGAATCATGAGTCTCACCCACTCTGGCTCAGGCAGAGGAATTGCACAGGCCCGAGGGCCAGTGCTATCCAGGCAGCCTAAGGGCTTCCCTTATCCTTCCTATCCCTGCCCTCAAGCCTCAAGCCCCAAGCCCACAGACATGTTTGAGAGAAGGAAACCTCCCGGCCCCAGCTTACCTGACTTAGTATCTAACCTTCCTTCCTGCTGCTCTCACAGGTCTTGCTGCTCTTCCAGGGGAGCAGCCTGGGGTCTCCCCCACCTCTTCTGCCTTCTCTGCTATGCCTGAACCTACCCCAGGGTCCCTTTCTCTTTGGGGAACAATGTCATTCCCTGCTAGTAGACAGAGTCGAGTGTCCTTGCTATGGGGAGGATGGGGAAACAGATGGGGTGCGGAATGGGAAGAAAGGTTATCGAGGATCCTGCTGAGATGAAGAACATTTTGTAGCGAGGAGGGCTGCCCCAGGCAGATCCGGCTCAGGGACGAAGGCTGACTGCCTTCCTTCCTCCAACCGCTCTCCACACACACCCTTGAGCAGTGTGTTACCACTTATCAGACAAGCTGGACCGTTGAAGTGAGTTATGAAACTGAGGTGTTTGCCTCCTGGCTCTTTGGGGAAAGGTTCCAAACTCCTTTTATCCCTGGTCAGACCCAGTTCCTTGAACATCTCCCTTTACCCTTATCTTTCAAAGCAGAGACACGAAAGACAAAGCAGGGACATGTGGGACATTGATTTGGGGATTTGGGGGAAGGGGGAGCGGGATATTTTGATGTTTGAGGCTGCTTCATAAGACTTCCTTTTTCCCCATTCTTGCTTCCCCTTCCTCCATTTTCTCCATAGTTTTTTGTTCCCAACCACTTCCCCATCACCAGGCCTCCCAAGGATGCCAATCGGGGCCCTGGCCAGAGCCAGAGCTTGTCCAATGCCCCAAACTCTTCCAAACTCCTTCTCACCTTTGGGAGCTCTTCCTTATGCAAGTCTAACTCTCTGTCCTCCTGTTGCAGCCTCCTCCTTGCACATTAGAACCCCAAGCTCATTCCCTCTCAGGAGTCTCTTTTCAGCTCCCCCTGCCCCCCACTTCGTGGACTCTCCAGCCTTCAAGTCCTCCAGCTCTGAATGGGAGGTGCTTATTGCCCAGTCGAGTCCCATGCAAGGGTCCCTTGACCTGGTGGAGCGAACTGTGGGATGTGAGCATTTGGAGAACCTAGTCCCACCCCTCTGTGTTCAGTCCCAGATTTCAGCCGGTTAGCAGGATCCTGCATTGTTTGGAGAAGGAAGCAGTTGGCTCTGGAGTGCTTCCTGTGCCGTGCTTCTGAAGGGCACCAGGGTCAACCTTCCCTGGGAGAGAGGTGCGGGATGGTGGAGGAGAGGCCTCTGCCCCTCTTGCTCCTCCTGGGGAGCTAAGACCCTCCCCAGGCCTTGGCCTCCCAGGTTGAAGAGCCCTATCTTCCCTTCCTCCCACCCGCCCGGTTCTATGGGAGGCAGTAGTCCCTATCCTGGGTCTCCCTGGGGTCAGACATTGAGAGGGCAGGGACTCTGTCTCTCTAAATCAGGATATATGCTGCCCCCACCTTAATCTGGGTCTCAGAGGGGTTGTTATTCCACGAGTTCATCCCAAGATAACTGTGTCATTGTCTTGGCAACCTTTGGGCCGAGACCCCACTGTATCTTTTTGCTTCAGTCAGTCTGTCATTGGCGTGTGCCCTCTTGGCCTTTCAGAAACTCTCTCATCCTCTTGGTTTATCTCTCTTATTGCCCATCCTTCGTGGCATTCTCGGCCCCGTTTCTCAATCTCTGTTGCTTGCTTTGTCTCTGCTCGTCGCCATCCCTTCCATCCAGGCCTCTTGGTATCCCGAAAGCTATCTCCTGGGCTTGCTCACATGCTCGAAATTTTGTAGTTGTTCGTACCCTCCCAGGCCAGACTGGGAGTATCCAGTTTGGCAGTGAAAGTTCTTCTCCACTTTCCTTCAAGTTCCTCTCTCGTCTTCCCCCTCCACTAATTTTGGGAATGGATTTTGGAGAGAATGTTTCTGCAAGGAGGGAACTTGATACGCTTTGTGGACTGAGTAAGAGGGAGAAAGGAGATATTTCAGAAGGAAGGAGGGAGGTTAGACTCCTGGCAGGACTTCCTCATGACCTAAGAACTAGAGAAAGGCGTGGGGAATGGCTCAGGGGCTTAGAGCTCTCACTTCTGCTGAGGATGATCCCTGTGTGTGTGTTGGGGGTAGATGATCAGGGCTCATAAAGGCCTGGGGAGAGATACGATGATCCCTGAGGACATTTGAAGGGTCTGAATCTTCCTTGTGGGGGAAAGGAAAAGATGGTAGGGAGGTCACTTGTCAGGCTAATGTGCTGCTGAGTCAATATTGACTCAAGATGTAGGGGGAGACCCTTCCCCTCCCCTGGCAGTGCAGGCCATCCTGTCTGTCCGTCTGTCCAGGCCGCAAAGCAGAGGCCCAGACTCAGGAATGACAAAAATGTGTCTGAGCCTCGCTGAGCTGCGGGAAAGAGCCACCGGGTAACACCCAAAATACATAAAATTCAGTGAAAAGCTCTTGGTTTGGGTTTGGGAGGCCCTTGCTGCCCCACCCCCATATGTTTGAAAGTTTAGATTCCTGCAGGCTCTGCCCCCCACCCCTTGGCCACCCCCTGGCTCCTCTTCCCTGAGATATATCGTGTTGTTCCCTTTAGAAAACATCCCTTCACACAATCTCTCTCTCTCTCCGGTGTCTGCTCAAGGGGTTTCTTTCATGAATTTCCTGCCTCAGGTCTCCTGGTCCTGTAGGAAGCACCATCTGCGGTCTCACCTCTCTCCCTCTCCCTCAAAGAGTGGGTCCCCTCCTCTGAGAAGACCTCCGCAGGGCGTCCTTTCCTCATGCGCTCTTCTCTGGCCAGGCACCCTTCCCCGCCCCACCCCCCAGGTCCCAGGACGGGATAGAGGAGGACAGCCAAGGCTGAAGCCGGGCAGTGGGGTCCGTGTACACCCAACGCTACGCCTCCTGTCCTGGCTCCAGCTTGGTGGCCCTGGGGGCCATGGCTGGGCCGAGTGCCTGGATCTGAGGGGGGGCAGGGGTGTTGGCCAGAGTTAGCATGGCGGTCACATTCATCTCCAGGCAAAGCTGAGAACAGACGGCCCCTGTGTCCTGGCGTTCTCTCTGCAACCTCGCTTGCTCTCTTTCCTTTTTAGTTCTCCTCCTTCATCTCTCCCCTCTTTCTTCCCTCTTCTGTCTTGTTCTTGTCCCTCTCCTCCCTGATGAGCCTTGAAGGCCACTACCACCCCCCGTGATCCTGCTCCCACTCCCAGCTTCAGGGACCAAAGTATGCTCCCTGCTGTTAGTCTCCCTTCTCCACCTGCTCAGTTATGACTCGCTCTGCACCTCGGTTTCTACCTCTGTCTGATGGGGATTGCAACAGTACCCACCTCACAGCATTGGGAGGATCTAAATGAGTTAATACAAAGTGTTTCCTTCCAATCAGTGGCTGACTCATAGTGACCAGGTAAAGTGTTCGTAGCTCCTGTCATTACGAAGCCCCAATTCTCACGAGGGGCAGGAGGCAGCAGCGGCCGCTGAGCCCAGTAGTTGATCCCCAATTTAGGGCTGAACTTAGGGCTGTGTTGCTCCCTCATCTTAGCTGCAGGCCACAAAGATGGGTGTTCTGGGTGCTGGTATCAGATGCAGAAGGCTCAGGGGGCGGAGGGGGTGGGGGTGGGCTTGGCTGGAGGCTCTAAACAGATTACCAGCTTCCTACCCACCCCCACGGCAACTCCCTCCCACCTCCAGTGGGGCTTCCCTGGGCCGCGTAGACTGCCCCAAAGTAGGTTATTTGTTTCTTTCCTCTCCGCTCCCCCTGAAGGAAATCAAAGACAGGCCTCAGCCTTCAAACTCCACATTCCCTGGGCTTTCTCCACCATCCCTGACAGGAAGGAAGTTCTTTCACTTATCTCTCCACGATCCTAGCGCTGCCCTGGCTCCTGGGAGATGTGCATCCCCAACCTCTCTGTCCCTGGGTCTGAAGAGATGCTGATGTGGGATAGGGAGCCCTGAGGGCTCCTCTTCTTTCACTCCCCCCTCCCCCACTCCCTTCCCTCTGCGAGAGCACATCTGGTTTGTGAATCTCTCTCATTCCAGCTTTCGGAGTTTGCCAGCTGCTGTTTCCTCTGTCGAGTTCAGGCCAAAAATGGGGGTGGGGGACAGCAGGGGGGACAAAGTAAGGGCCAAAGGAGGGGGGATCATGGCTGGGACGCAGAATGGAGCAGAGTTTGGAGTGACCAACCGGTGACCTCAGGCCTAGTCTGTGAGTTCTGGCGCAGGAGGCTTGGGGGTGTGGACTATGTCCAGGTGGGGGTGGGAGGCACGGTGGGGCTATGGAGGCCATTTCTGGGCTTCAAACAGCCCATCTGCCTCTGAGTCCCATTCCAGCCCCCTCTACCCCCCCAGACAGTCTCGGCTGGCCAGGGGAAGAGCACCCTTCTCCGGCATGCTAACTAGGCTGGCGGGTTCCCCGGGAAGACCTCACAGCTGGCCCAGTGGGGCAATGAACTCAGTATTATCCACCTCCTCAAGGGGCCTTTATTCCCTGCTCAGGGTGGGGGGGAGGGGAGGGGGGCTCTGGGGGGGAGGGCCTGGCCCGGCCATCCTTGATGTGTTTCCTGAACTCGGCTCTCATCCTGGTCAGGGCCTGGGTGTAGTGCCCTCTGCCAGCGACGGAGGTTAGGGAGGGGGGACATCTTCTCCACGTGGCCCCCTCAGACTCTGTCCCTCCCGGCGAGCCCTGACACACTTTACTTAGACTCCGTCCCAGCCCGAGCTCACTCTGCCCTGCATTCGAGGTCGTGGTGTGCAGCTGCCTTCCCAGGGACCTGAGGCTCCTGAGGGGCATTTACTCCTCCTTGGCACCCTGGTGCCTAGGCAGTGCCTGGCACAGAGCTGGTCTCCAGTGCACGCCAGCTGAATAGAAATGGAATTGACACAGGACGAGGAAAAGGCGATGAAGAGCGGGGGGACTGGGAGCCAGCCCTGGGTGGGGGTAAGGGACCGGGAGGACTTTCCTTCCCATGGGGACCTGGTGATGGGGTTGGGAGGAACAGCTGGGTGTCTCTTAGGGGAATGGGGAGACTAGTATAGGCTGCACTGGTTAAAAGCTTGGAGTCGGCTCAAGACTGAGTGAGCCCTGGTGTGTCCTTTGCCTACTATGTGACCCCACCCTCCTGAGGCTCCGTGTCCTCGTCTATAAAATGGTGGCAGGAGTAGTACCTACTGTCTCATATTGTGGGGAAGACGATTAAATGAGATGACACAGAGAAAGAACTGGCTTACCACAATCCCTGGCACATACTGAGCCCGTGATAGGAGTTAGTGTTACATTCTTCATTCCTCCTCCTTAGAGAATGAGGTGTGAGGATGGCGTGGAGCAGAGGGAAGCCGGTGGGGGTGAAGGGACAGCGCAAAGAGGCCCTGGATGCAGCAGCCTCACGGTCTGGCTGGGCTGGAATCAGCTCCCACAGGTCCCCCCAGCCCTCTCTTGCCTCGGCTTTCCAACGCCATCACCCTGAGCGATCTTTAGGTGCCTCTTATCTTTGGGGACATCTGCTGAAAGTCCTCCCTGAGGTCTAAGCACAAGGGAGGCTATGTCTTTAGGGACTGGAGGTGGGGCCCCCTGCCCTGCCCCCCCCACTCCCCTCCCCACAGTCTTGCCCTCCAGTACCTCCGTTGATATCGTCTCCAAGCTACGTCTCCAAGCTACGGGTGTACCAAGGGCACCCCCCCACACACACACTTCCCGTCTGGGGGCCTGGTGGTTAGTTAGGAGTTGGAGATGGGGGAGAGGGTGATGGGTTCCTAGGACCAGGAGTTCCCAGAGGACAGAGGAGCAGCGAGGTTACAAAAGATCAGCTCTGGGCTTGCAGTGGGAGGGAGAGGAAGATAAGAGAAAACATGTCAATGTTCCGTAAATGCCCTGTCCTTCCTCTCGGTCAGCAAAGCTGCAGGTGTTGGTCAGCGTGGCCAAGAGTGACCCAGACAGCAAGGCTTTGACCCTGAGGGCTGGAGGAGGGGGCGCACTGGACGGGCAGCTAGGGAGCTGGGCGAGGGCAGTAAAGTGTGCTCCCTGTATCCTCCCCCTCCCCCCACCACAGGTATTCTGTGTTCTAGGAGTGACACACAGCCACCTCCCCCCACCATGGGCTGTGACTCACAGAGTCTGGGCCAAATGGAGCCTGATGATAGGGAAGGAGGAGGAGCTGTACGGGGGGCTTTAGGGCCATAGAGTTGGCTTTCAGCCTTCATTGACACCCCGTTTTCTTTCCTTGCCCCTAGTCCCCAAGACTTGCAGCCCCAAGCAGTTTGCCTGCAAAGACCAGATCACCTGTATCTCCAAGGGCTGGCGGTGTGATGGTGAGAGGGACTGCCCGGATGGATCTGATGAGGCCCCGGAGATCTGTAAGTACTTTTCTGGGTCCCTCCCCCAAAACTCCTGACTTATCTTTTTCCTTTTGGCCCAGGCAGTTTGGGATGAGGACAAGCTGATCTCTCGCCTGGTGTAGACCTTGCTCTGTGATTGTTTGTCCATGACACAGCTAAAACTGTCCTCTCCCCCCTCATTGTGCCCGGCAGGGTGCCTGGCTTGCTCAGAAATGGCCCGTGGGATTGCTTACTCGGCCGCTGCACCGCGAGTCTTCCCAAGACTGTTTTCTCCGCACTGACATTTTTTTAAAATATATTTTTATTGATTTCAGAGAGGAAGGGAGAGAGAGATAGAAACATCAATGGTGAGAGAGTATCACTGACTGGCTGCCTCCCGCACGCTCCCTACTGGGGATCGAGCCCACAACCCAGCATGTACCCTTGACCGGAATCGAACCCGGGATCCGTCAGTCCACAGGCTGACACTCTAACCCTGAGCCAAACCAGCCAGGGCCGCACTGACATTTTTGCTGGAAGGAGAGAGCCCAACCTCCCTTTTCTTTTGCTTGTCCTTCTTTTTCCCACCTCAAAGCCTCCCGGCCCTTGCTGAGTGCCCACAGGTCCAGCCGGGTCCCCTTTCTGTCCTCAGAGTCCCAGGCCAAAGGCCACCAACTCTTGCTCAGTCTCTATACCAGAAGCCCCACCCCTGTGCGTTTCCCACCACCCCCGCCTTCCCCTGCCCCCAGTAAGTGGTGTAATCAGAGGCAGCTGTTTAAACTGGGAGAAAGGTCCCCACCCAGCTTTTACTTTGCCAGTGGGGGTGGGAGGTGGGGGGTGGAGGACTTGCTGGCTGGACCCCAGAATCCTGGGCAGCTGGCAAAGTGTTGGGGTCTCCACCTTCAGCCTCTCCCCTGCTTTGTCAATCTCGGCCAGGGTCTAGGTGCCCGAGCATTCTTAGGTCTGTCTCTGTTTTTTTTCCCGGGTTTATCCTGTTCCAGCCCCATCCCCTGTGCTCTCCCCACACCCTTACCCGTAATTATCAGGGGTAATTTTAGGGCCGGAAAGGGAGCCACCAGTTCTCTCTGCCCTGGAGGACTGGGGGCCAGGGATATTCTACAAGTGTCTATGGTGGAGTGGTTCAGCCTGGAGTGCCTCCTTGTCTGATGCCACCTTAACCCCCACATTTCTGACCCGATGCTTGGTGTTGAGGATTAAGAAAGCCTTGCAGAGGGGCCAGACCTGGCTCTTTTTATCCATTCTTTCCTTGAAGCAAACCCCACCTTATACACATCCCCACTCTTACTCTCAGACCCATCACACACACAGCCTCTCCTGGGCACTGACTTGTCCACCCTCCACCCCGACATATACAAAAGCAGCAACACAGAGTCAACACTCAAAACGGGGAGGTGCAGAAGCACTCAGACAGACACACAAAACCAGACTCAATCCCCAAAGAATGTGGAAATGGAGACACACAGATATCCCCTCACTGCACACCACACACCGCCCTCACCTGTGCATGCAGACTCCTGCCCAGGCACAGGATAGCCCACTCACAGGTAGACACTCTCACACACCCCGTCCAGGTCGGCGAGCCAGTCCACAGTAGTCTGTCTTCCAGCTCATGGGCTCAGCCAGCTTCCTAGCCTGCAAGGCCTGACGATTCTCTGAGGAGCTCAACAGCCACCCCAAGTCCATCTTCTTGGGCAACAAAGGAAGTACCAGAGACATCACCAGCGGGCTTCCATCTTTGACCCTTCCCAGATCTTTCTATCAGACAGGCTGCTCTGGGGTTGGGGGATCTAGAATAGTGCTGTCCAATAGAAATACAATGCAAAGCATAAGGCAATTCACTATTTTCTAGTAGCCACATTTAAAAAGGAAAAAACAACCAGGTGAAATTAATTTTATTTAGTGTATCCAACATTTTATCATTTTAGTATAATATTCATATAAAAGTATTCATGAGATCTTTCACATTCTTTTTTTTTTTTATTGATTTCAGAGAGGAAGGGAGAAGGAGAGAGAGAGAGAAATATCAATGATGAGAGAGAATCATCGGTTGGCTGCCTCCTGCACATCCCCTACTGGGGATTGAGCAAGCAACCTGGCATGTGCCCTGACTGGGAATTGAACCGTGACCTCCTGGTTCATAGGTCAACACTCAAACACTGAGCCACGCCGGCTGGGCCACATTCTTTTTTGTTTGTGGCATTAAGTCTTCAGAAGCCAGTGGGTATTTTATGCTTACATTTTCAACTAGTCACAGTTCAAGTGCGCGGTAGTGACCTATGCCTGATGCTACATATTGGACAGTGCAGTTCCGGAAGACCCGGTCCGTCCGACTCTTAGCCCATTCTGTGACCCGGGCAGCTATGGGAAGGAGATGCTCTTTGTCACTGGAGCTTTTCTAACATGGACTCTGTTTTCCTTGGCTCATTGAAACCTTTCACTTCTAACCTTGGCCTGTCTCCTGAGTGTAGAATGTGGAGGCGTTGGGGTCCATAGGCAGGGGACATTGGAAGAGTGGACTCTTGGCTGAAGGCCGCGTTCTCCCCTCCACCTAGCTGCTCCCAGGTGTGTGACATCTGTGTCGAAGAGCTCTAGATGAAGAGTCTAACCAACTCTGAGGCCTCCTAAGATCTCAAAAATGCAGATGTCTGAAACCCAAGTCTCAGTTCCCGCTTCCTCTCCCAGGGAGCAGCTGGCCAACTACAGCTGCTTTTGCCAGCGTGGTAATGCTAACCTTTCCGTCTGCCCCCAGGCCCACAGAGTAAGGCCCAGCGATGTCAGCCGAACGAGCACAATTGCCTGGGCACTGAGCTGTGTATTCCCATGTCCCGCCTCTGCAATGGGGTGCAGGACTGCATGGATGGCTCGGACGAGGGGGCCCACTGCCGAGGTAAGGGCTCTTCTACCTCTCCTCTCACAGGTGCCTGCGGTGAGTTCTCAGCTGGGCACCTGAGGGGTCTGGAGGCCTGCCATCCGAGGACTGTCCCTGCACCTCCAGTAGGGATAAGGCTTTGTCCTACGCCCCTACATAGAATTGCCACCAGACAGCGGCCAAAATCAGTGGGCCCTTTGGGCTTGGAGCTTGTCCAAGTATGGGCCCTGTCCTGAGCTTCTCCCTGTGCGTGGACAAGTCAGTACCCCTCTCCAGACCCTAGTTTCCCACCTGTAAACGGAAAGCTTTACATGAGATCAGTGTTTTCATACTTTTTTTTTTTTGTAAATAGTGGGACCTTTTCTCCAAATGGTTTCTTATATGTAACATGAGTATGACCAGAGAAGAGCAGACTCTGATGAAAGCTGGGGTTGGGGGGCTGAAGTTTTGCTCGTCTGCTTCCCTGGCCTGTGGGAGGAGACACCTCCAGGTCCTGTTCACTCAGGGCAGGGAGTGTGGAGAAGGGAGTGTGTGGAAGGTTTTTAATCCTCTCCTTTGGTTGGTTTTGCCTGTTCTTGTCTGAAGCTCCTGGGATGGGGTGCAGTGTGGGCCCAGGGGTTGACTTCGGTTACCACGCACATCCCACCTTAGCGGATGGTGCATGTTCAAATGTGCTTCCTTTTGAATACCTCAAATACCTTTTCAGTTTTAAAAATAACAAAGAACCTCAAAACCTAGGGTTTGAACTTCCTTTCTGATATTACAGACATTGGTTCTCCTCAAACACCTATCCCTGCCAAATCATATCCAGAAAAGAAACTCTTCTAGATTCTCTAGAAGAAACAATACTTACCCGCTCTGTGCTGGAAGGCTGGACAGACAGCACATTTGGGCTCTCGGGTGGAGGTGGGGAGGAAAAGGAGTAACTGGGGTCTGGCCCCCCACCCCAGCTCTGCCTGGCAGGCTTAGTGCTTCTGAACGTCTTAGCATCTGGGGCAGCTCTCACTCCTAGGTGGGGGGGTGAGGCAGCTGGACAAAGGGGTCTTTGTGGCCAGGCCGCCTGGCCCCACGCAAGGCCATTAATTGGGTCGCTGGTTTGGGGGGGGCCGCTGTTCCCACCTCTCCCCCTCCTGTCTCATTCCCTTGCGTCTCCCCCGTGGAAGTGGGTCAGTGGCAGGAGAAAGATTAGAGAAGAATCCGGAGGGAACCAAATTGCTCCTCCTGCCATCCTCCGCCTGGACTTCACTGAGGCTTCTCTCAGAAGCCTCTAGGGCTCAAGGGATAAGTTGCAGGGGTGCTTCCAAGCCAGAGCTGGGATCCTGTGGGGAAAGATTCGATTCCATATCCACTCTTCCCCCGCAGCCTGGGGCCGGCATGGTAGTCCCCGGGCAGTGCAAATAAGAGGCATATGAAGGGAATAAGACTCACTGCCCACATTCCCTTTGAGCCCAACAAACCTCCGCACCTCTCTCCGTGGGACAGGGGGAGGCCAGAGCAGGGAGATGGTTGTAAGCCCTAATTGGTTAAATGACCTGGACCTTGGGCCTGTCTTATACCCTCTCTGAGTCTCAGTTTCCCCACTTGCAAAATATGGTAGATGCTTCCTAAGCCCCTTTCCTCTCCAACACCGCAGGCCTTGAATGTGGTTTCTGAAGGGTTGACGGGAGTTGGGTGGAGGGTACAGTCTGGGGGTGGCTGCCAGGTCTGAGGCCCTGAGTGTGTGTCTCCTGCCCCTCACAGAGCTCCTAGGCAACTGTTCTCAGCTGGGCTGCCAGCACCATTGTGTCCCCACACTCAACGGGCCTACCTGCTACTGCAACAACAGCTTCCAGCTGCAGGCAGATGGGAAGACCTGCAAAGGTGAGTGCAACTGCTACTGGGATGGTGGTGGGAAGAGGGAGGCAGGGCCAGCGGGCCTGGCTGGAGTAGGAGAAAGTTAGATGGAAGGTGCCAGAGAGGAGGCGTGGCTACAGGCCCTATATATAGCCTCCGGGCATGACTCGGAGCCCACTTGCTCCCACCAGACGTTTAAAAATTCATCTTAAAATTATATAGGTCACATGTGAGTTTTCTTGTAAAAAAGTTAAAGCACGACAGATAAAACTAAAGTCCACTTCGACAAATCCTCTTCACTTCTGGTCCCTTTCCCATCTCTGTGGAGATCAGCTCTGTTACCGGTTTGCTCTCTCTCTTTCCGGGGCTTTTTCTGTACATCTGTGCGCATGTACTCATGGAAAACCCCAGTGAAAGTACTGTTTATGCGCATCTGCTCTTTTTTACATAAAATCATCCTGTACATATCTGTTTTCAATTTTTTCCACTCAGCATGTTCTAGAGATTTTTCCATGTTAATACGTAGAGATCTACCTCGTTCTTTTAAAAACCGCCGTGATGTATGACTGTTACCACAGTTTACTTGGCCATCGCCCTATTGATGAGTAAGATGTTCCCAATTTCTCTCTGTTACAAACAATGCAAACTTTTCTGTTTTAAATTTGCCTCCCTCGAGCCTTTGCACAAATGCCACCTTCCCAGGGAGGCCACCCCTGGCCACTCTAAATCACACTCCCGCCTGCGTGCCCTTTCCCCTCTCTCTGCTTAATATTTTTCATAGCACCAGTCACTTTCCAGTGCACTAGCAGCTCAAAAAATACAATTTATCTTTCTTTTGTATTTATTATTATTATACCAGTATTCCATTTACCATCAGAATTTAAGTTTTACGCGGGAACAGTTTGAATTTGTTTTCTTCACTGCTGTAGCGCTAGAGCCTAGGACAGCTCTGGCACTGAGTAGGCACTAAAGAAATATTTTCTGAATGAATGGATGGTATGCACATATGCGCCTTTCTCCAAGTCTGGACTTGCTGGGTGAGTTTGCACGGTTATTGTTATAATATTCTGCCAAATTGTCCTCCAACGTAGCTGTAGGGATGGACAGTGGTAGTGTCTGAGGGCACACGCTTCCCTGCTCTCATCGCCCTGCCCATGACCATGCCCTTGATTTTTTTCCTGGCAGACTTTGATGAGTGCTCGGTGTACGGCACCTGCAGCCAGCTCTGCACCAACACAGATGGCTCCTTCACCTGCGGCTGTGTGGAAGGTTACCTGCTGCAGCCAGACAACCGTTCCTGCAAGGCCAAGAACGGTGGGTGGGGTCACCTGTGCCCACAAGGGGAGGTGCCCTCAGTGCTGTTCCTCGGTGGAGAGCAGCCTGTGAGGTCCTAGGGACCCTGGCTGCATTGACCCCCCTCTCCTCCATCCACAGAGCCGGTAGACCGGCCCCCGGTGCTGCTGATTGCCAACTCTCAAAACATCCTGGCCACGTACCTGAGTGGGGCCCAAGTGTCTACCATCACGCCCACCAGCACACGGCAGACCACGGCCATGGACTTCAGCTACGCCAACGAGACTGTGTGCTGGGTGCACGTCGGGGACAGTGCCGCCCAGACGCAGCTCAAGTGTGCCCGCCTGCCTGGCCTGAAGGGCTTCGTGGATGAGCACACCATCAACATCTCCCTCAGCCTGCACCGTGAGTCGCTTGCTCCCAGGTTGGAGGGTGCAGAAGGGCAAGGGAAGTGGGGCCTGGCTGGGGCAGAAGCTGATGGTTAGACAGGGTGACCCCTGTCAGGCACTGGAACCTAAACAAGAAGCCGACACAGGGGCAGAGTCAGGCCATGCTTTTCTGGCTCCGATCTGAGAAGTCCTCAAAGGAGGAATGACCGGTCAATCTCCAGAGACCGGGGACTGTCCCTTCTCAGAGAGAAGAGTGTTGATTAGGTTTCCAAGGGGCTTTCCCTCGAAGGGGTAGCGAGGGCTGAGAAGCCTTGCCGGGTAGTGCCTGAGGGATTGGCTGGGTCTGTCTTCATGATGTCGCCAGAATAGCACGGGTGTGGAGGTCCTGGGGCTGTTTCTGGGGGACTGTGTGGCGGTGGATGAGAGCGGAGGAGGAGCGGTGAGGCTGGGACCCCCTGGGTGCTTTAGGGTACTCAGGATGTTCCCTTTGGGGCTCCCTCCCTAGGCTGTACTTTGCTGTCTAAGGGGTGTTCCTGGGGATGGGGCCAGGGCATAGATACAGCGCTTGGAGCACTCCTGCTCAGCTCAAGATGCTGTTATATAAACAAACAAAACATCTGGCATCATCACATTACCAGGAAATGCACCACAGGGCGGAGGGAACGATGGGGCCTGTGGTTGATCCGACCCACTGGGGAGGGTAACTTGATCTGTGACCTTGAGTAAACCAGCGTTCCTTGTAACTCTGCTTTGGTTTCTAATCTGCAAAATGGGATTGAGATTGTCTGTTCGGATCAGATAAATTGAAGTGAAAGTCAGAGGTAGCTGGAGGGTGGCAAACAAAAGACTTAGTATTGTGAGCCTTGGGCCTGTCTAGATCTTGAAGTTCCTTATTGGTTCCTGTGTGATGATCCCCACGGAGGACAAAGACCCTGAGAAGGTGCAGGGCTTAGTTCTGCTTCAGCAGATGTTCTTCTGAGAGCCCCACCCTCTGTGGCCTCATCATACTGTCCACACCTCAGGTCCAGAGCATCCCAGTGGGGTCCTCGGGCTGCTGGTGACCAACGCTCCCCTGTGATTGGACATGTTCTCCTTGGAGTACCGAGCTGGGGTTGCCCCACATGCTTGGCTGAGCTCTCGGGGGTGGGCTGCTCAGGGAACTCCATGGCAAACGGGGTAGGGTTCGGGGGAGACCCCGTGAGACATCTCCCCTCTCCCTGCTCCTTGTCGATGGCCCCACCTAATAGGCCTGTCTGGGCAAACAGCTCCAGCAGTTCCCTCCCTGGCCCTGAGGCCAGACCCTGGGCTCGTGGGCAGGAGGCTGGGGAGGGGTGCCCTGATGGGAACCTTCTCAGCTTTTGCTCTGGCCTGGCCCCTCTCCTGCCTTCCTCCCCAGGAGAAGCCGGAAATAACCTCAGGCGGGTATCCCTCCCTTGGCAAACACAGCCTTGCCTCCCAGTCTGCTAGGTTCCGTGGGCCCTTCTGGGGCAGAGTCCAAGCGCCGGGAAGAGATCAAGGTTCTGGGGAGAAGTGCTAGTGGGGTGAAGAAGTGGGTTCCTCTTGCCCCAGCCTCTGTCCCTGCCCCCCTGCCCTGCCTGCACCCCACACCCCATGCCGCCTGAATGTCTGGCTGTCACCCTGAGGATGATTGTTTTGCTCTCATCCCACAAACTAATTATGGGCCCTGAACTGAGGAAATAGAAAGTGTCTCTCCCCTAGTGCCCTCCCCACATCCCCAGTGTACCCCCCCCCCCCCCCCCATTCCCAGGAGAGGCTGAAGGCCTACCCTGCTGTGCAGGGTGGCTGGTCCCAGGCGCTCACCTGTGCAGTGGGCTGCTGGCCTGTAATTAGCTCCCCAGGGCGGATGGAGAAGAAGGGCTGCTGGTTTCTCCTGCTTTCTCTCTGCCCTCTGGGGGAGCCCTCCCTGCAATCATCCCATTCTTGGCCATGACTGTGACCTCCATCAGACCCCTGGGCTGAGCCCCACGTGGGAGGGAGGAGTCTGACAATGGAGAGGTGCGGGGGCTCAGAGGCCAAGAGGCCAAGGGAAGCCTGCCTGCTGGTGTGGGAAGAAGAGGGAGCCTGCCCCACAGAAAACTCGGGATACAGAAATAGAATAGAAAGGAGGAAGGAGGCCAGGAAGTAAGACCTGGGTCTTGGGGCACGAGTGAGCCAGACCTGCTCTGAGTCCTGAGAGCCCTAGAGGACCCTCCAAGGCTGCGGTGGCCAGTGGTCAGTGCAGCCTCTAGGAGAGGCTTGTGGAGCAGGCTCAGGACTGGCCCCAGCTCCTTCCCTCTGTTTGTACTCAAGAGTGGGGGCATCCACTGAGCAACATCCCCAGCATCCTGAGAGGTGTGTATGTGCACTTCCTTCCCGCACCCTCCTCTCACAGCCCCAGTGCTCCCACTGCCCTGGATTGGGGTGATCCCTCCCCCGCCCTCCTGGGCTATCGCCTAAAGGCCCATCCTCCCAGCTGGATGGGTGGTCTCTGAGGACCCTGATTCCGGACTGAGAACATGACCGTGAGTCATGGGAGACTCTTAGGGAGGCCCAAGGCCAGCCCCTCGGTTGTAGTTGTTGTTTTTAAACTATTTTTATTGATTTCAGAGAGGAAGGGAGAGGGAGAGAGAGATGAGAATCATTGATTGGCTGCCTCCTGCATGCCCCCTCCTGGGGATCGAGCCCGCAACTTGGGCACATGCCCTTGACCGGAATCGAACCCGGGACCCTTCAGTCCGCAGGTCGACGCGAGCCAAACCAGCGAGGGCCAACCCCTCGGTTTTTAATACTGCCTTTCCCAAAGCAGGGATGCCTTGATTTTCCGTCGCACATAGATGTGCAGTTTTTATTATTGTAGTTATGTTTTTAGGGAATACTCATTAGGGAACTCCTATAACTAGCATTCCAAATCTATGATTTTGTAGATTGTTTAGGATGCAGCAAAATAAATTGATTTAAAGAACTAGTAGGTAAATAATAGTACAACCGTACATAAACGTGGTGAATATTTTGAAAATGATACACAAAAGACTTTAAGTTCTGGTAACTGAGGGCCAGAGGGGTCAACTGGAAGTCCCTGAGACAAGCCTGGCCGCCCTCCCCCCCCCCGCAAGGATGGTGCTGGGCCGAGCGGTGTTGAGGTCACCCCCCCCCCCCCCCCCCCCCCCCCCGGCCTGCATGCCTTAAGCTGCGCTCCTCTGCCCAGTCCCTTCAGTTCTGAGGTTATTTCCACTGTGAGAAGAATAAGGGCAGGAGCAGGCGTGGGTCCTGGGAAGGTGTGTGTGTGTGTGAGGGGAGGGTGGGTAAAGGGAGGTTCCAAGGTTGCAGATAGAGCCCTGAAGGAAATAAGATTTGCGGAGTCACTTAGTTTTGGCCTGTGCGTGAGGGGGTGCTCTGGAGGGGCTCTCGGAGGTCCTAGGGCTTCCTCCCCTGCTCCTGGCGGGGAAGGAGGAGGCAGACCCCCTAGGAAGAAGAAAAGGCCCTGGAGGCTGCAGGCAGCAGGGTTGCGAAATGGGTCCCCAATTCCAGCTGGCCAACTTCACTTTTCTTTTTTTCTTTTCCCTCCAGAGAGTGTGTGTGTGTGTGTGTGTGTGTGTGTGTGTGTGTGCAAGCTCGCATTTAAAGTCACAACAGGAAATGGGGTAGTGATTTGTCTGGAAGGAAGGCAGAGAGAGGGCAGAGAGCAGCGTCTGAGCCTGTGAGGAACTGGCTTCCCCAGCTGGAAGGGGAGCTGTCTTCCCACTGAACTGACACCCCACGCCCTCTCAGCCTCCCATCCCCTACCTACGGGACCCTTACAGGCCATGTAAGAAAGCCAGCTACCCCTTCTTTGGCCTTTCGTACCCACAGGGTGTCAGAATCGTGAGGAGCTCCAGCCACCCCACTCTGGCCTTGGGCCCTCCGCATCCTGGTGCTTTTGCTTCCCATTCCCATTCTGAGTTTTCTATCATTGAACAGCCCTCCTCCCCTCTCCCAGGCCAGGGACAGCCCTGTGTCTCTGGCATAGCTCCAGCCCTGTCTTCTCCCCCGCTGTCTCCTTGAAGTCGCCTCTCTCCCCAGCCTGCTCCCAACACCCCCTCCCTACTGTTTTCAAGCCAAAGGAAGGAACTTCAGCAAGAGAGATGTGTTTTAGAGCCCAGTAAGGATTTCTCAACAGCGGAAAGACCTGGTTCTGATTCTGAATCAGAGCTGCAGAATCCAGCCATCTCATCCCAAGACTGAATACTTTGTGGACTGGGGCCAGGCAGGGGAAGGAAGCAGGGCATACCCCCCCCCCCCCCTCCAGGTGGAATTCTGAGCAGGGAGGGGGCCCAGGGGACAGAGGTGACACTGTGTGGCCGAGTCCCAGACTTGCTGGTGGAACAAGAAGAGCTGAAGTCAGGACCTGGCAGGAAGCAGGATCGTGAGGACATGCCATTTAGCAATGTTCTGCCAAGCCCCAGACTCCTGATCATCCCCCCAGCCCTCCCCCCGCCCAAGCAGGAGGATTACCAGACAGATGTCTTCTCCCACTGTCTTGGGCATCCAGAGGCCAGCGAAGGAGGATTCTGGCAGTAAAGGGGAGGGAAAAAGTGATGTCCCGACGCTAGGACGACCGAGTGAGGACTCAGTACTCAATAAATATTTGTTGAATGAATCAGTACATGTGTGTCAAGAGCTGGGGACAAAGATAAAAGTGCCCTGACCTCTCAGTATTTGTAGTCAGGTAAACAGGCTGTGGTAAATGGAACTGCTGGGGCCATGGGAGCCTGTACACTGCCCACCTGGAGGGTCTACCTTTAGTCAGGAGGCCATAGGACTCTGGCTGGAGGCACATATGGTCACTGGGTGGGAAAGCTGCGGACGGAAAGGATGGAGGTGAAGGAGGACCATGGTACAAACCATAGCTCCCATTTGTGTCTTGTTTATTGTCGGCCAGGCCCTGTGCTATGTGCTGTTGTTAAGGCACCATCCCATTTTACAGATGAGCAAACTGAGACTCAGAGACATTCAGTAATTTGCCCATAGTCCCACAGGAGGTGACAGAATGCTGATTCAAACCGAGGCTGGGCCCAGGGCAGAACAGAGTGATGAGTGAGGTGGGGAGGTTCCTGAAATAAGGAACAGATGCAATGTGTTCACCGAGGTTATGGTTATGGTTAATGGGATTCTTCTTCCTCACCCCGGGTCCTTGCACCCTACCCTACAGCATTTGGGTGTGTGGAGGTGTGAAGGATATTTCCTCAGGGCTCAGGGGCCCCGTCCTTCCCGGGATTTATTTTAGGGAGAGCGATGGACTCCTGCAGCTGAAGCTGGGGTCTTCTTGGGAATGGGGTGGGGCCTGTTCTTTTTGGAAGAGCAGCCACTAAGGGAACTGCCTCCTGAACACTGTGAATGACGGAGACGGTGAGAGAAAACCGGAGTTGTGGGGAGTTCAGGGTGCTGAGCACGGGGGTCAGGGTATAGGGAGGGTGCAGCATCTAAAAGCACACACCCCAGGTCTATTCTGGGGCCTGGAACTGAAAGTCCTTTGCGACATCACAGGCAGGCTGCGGTCTGTCCTCTCCCTCCCAGCGTCCTAGCGGCCTTCTCTCTGCTGGAATCCCAACCTCCTAGGACTCCAGCCCCCCCCCTCCCCCAAACTCCTCCCACAACACAGCCTCTCTCCACTGGGGTTTACCTGAGACTCTCCTGTCCTCAGGGTTTGGGGCCTTAAGCCAGAGCCCCTCTGGAGGGTGCACTGCGGTGGGTCGGCCCTGAGTAGGCTGGACCACGAAGAGCAAACCCTCTGGGTGTGTAGGACCAGAATGCTCAGGTCTTCGGGCACAACCCCAGAACCCCACTTGCCCCCCATGCCACGGACAGAGGGAGCCCTGAAAGAAGGCGCCCTCTCTCAGCCTGAGCCCAGCTCTGTGCTGGCCGTAGAACTGTGTGAGTGGCCCAGCGTGTGTGTGTGTGTGTGTGCATGCGAATGTGTGCATACGTGTGGTGGGGCGGGCAGAGGAATCTGGACTTTAGGGGAGAGGAAAATAATGTGGTGGAGGGGGTTGGATAACAAAGGATTTTTGCTTGCAACTAATAGTCTCCAGCTGCAAAAATACCAAAGGGGAGGCCAAACCGGGCTGGGGACTCCAGTTCCTGCCAACTCCTCACCGGCCTGCTGAGTGGGGCCCTGCCTGGCTTTTGGGTGGAAGGGGAGACCGGCCAAGGGTAAATATCTGAGAGCAGGATGGTCCCTTCCTGGAACTTGGAGGGAACACAGGCCAGGAGGGAGGCCCGGAGTGAAGGTCAGCGTTGTCTTGGGGCTCGGCCGGGAATGGGCTGCACCTGATGAGGGGGCGCTAGCCTCTTCAGGCTTCTTCCTCCCCTCTTGCTGAGGGAGGGGTGGGTGGGGAGCAGGGCAGGGTGTTGCCAGCCTCGGGCTGGGCAGTGACTCAGGGAAGCCTCAGGAAACGGAGAGAAGGACCCAGCTGCACCAGCTGGTGCTGGGAAAACAGCTTCCAGTGATGGAGTTCGTCCACGTGCCAGCAGCCCCCAGACCCCCACCGCGCCACCAAGCAAAGGGCACCCAGCCCTGTTTGCCTTTCGCCCACCCTGCCGGCTGCCTGGGGCTGTGGGCAGGTCCCCCTCCCTTTGGGACTTTGGGACTTTGGCTCCTCTGGGGGCAGCCCAGCAGCGCTCACTGTAATCTGATTTCTCTGTGGTAACGGTGTGTGGGGCGTTTTGATCACCTCACCCCTGCACTGGGCCCTCTTCCTACTTGGCCTGGGACTCACATCCCAGGCCGCTCCACCCTTCTCTCCGCTCATGCCGGCACCAGGGCCCAGAGGAGAGAGTGGCTGGGTGCGGGGGCATCAGCACTTACAGAGATAACTCATCCACGTGACCTTTCTCTGTCACCTGGGAGTGGGTTTCAACAGGGGGGGCCTGAAGAGGAAACCAGTTTGATGAGAATCTCAAATTGGCTCCTTCCCCCGCCCCCCGCCCCCCCCCCCC